CAAACGTATCTTTCGACTTTGTAGGTTTTTAAATCTATATGAGGATTAAGAAAAAATTCGAAAACAAGCTTGCTTTTCGACGAAAAGGCCTAAAGTCGCTGTTATAGACGGTCGAGAGTATGTCAACTTTATTAAACTAATTGACTAGTAAAGTGTACGATCAAAGGTAAGCGCATGCATTAAATGAGTTTTATGGAAGGAATTATAGTACATTTTGCTGATTGCGAAGCAAAGCAGTCGTGAAAATCATCACTTTCGTCTGCATTGAAGACGAATTGCTTTCAGCGCTTGATTTATGATGCGTTGTTGGAAGCACATAGGATTCCATGTAAATATTTATGATAATAGTTGCTATCGATTATGTTCTGTTGCCTATTGTGGAAGGTCGTTATCCCAGCTTGTGAAAACCATTTCTTTCAAAAATACGCTACAAGTCGATTTGCTGAAGCGCTCTGACCCTGAGAATACCGACGAGCTGAGAAATTTGGATCACTACCAACAATCTCGTTGATCCGTAATGTTCTCCCCTGCATTGGATTGTCTGCAGTGATTCGAATTTCTCAAAAATTCTTTATTAAGTCGCATAACAAAAAAAAAAAATTATCGCATGCGAATTAGAATTTTGATACAAAATTTTAACAATATGCAATTTGTTGTTAAACTTTATATTGAACTTATGGATAAAATGAAATGGAAAAGAAAATTTGCTATTATTTTGTATCACTTTAATGTAGATTATAATCAACGTTATGGTCGTTTTATTTAGTTTGTATGAAACTTTGCTGGTTTTGCAACAATTTCCATTAAAGCTATTCGTGAGCGTAATTTAAACGTCAACTTAAACTTCTCCTAACACTATTAACGAAAGCGTAATGCTTTCTTTTCTTCTCTCTTCTTCTTTCGTTAAGCAAGGAATCTTCTTTTTGGCTTCCCACACATTATCTATTTCATGATGCGATACGTATAAAGTCAAAGTTATCATCCATCATAATGTATATAAATTATGTCACAAATTTTAAACACAAACTGCTTTTGTTAATGCCTTTTTTTGTCTTTAAATTTTATGTAATATATTTAAAAAGCAGACAGAAATGACTGAATCAAAAAAAAAAAAAAAAAAAAAAAAAAAAACTAGTAAGAAAATTATATTCGGTCCTGACCGAATCTCTTATACCCATCATCGTTATATTCAAAAAGACTAGAAAGTCAAAGGGAACAAACTAAATTTTCGTATTCTATAATATTAGGCCTTATAAATAAGGTGGGCATGGCTAATTTTTTCTATTATCAGAATGCTTATTACAGATGCTGCATAATTGGGCAAACGGATAGAAAGATAGACAAACAGACGGAGATGCTTAGGTGTATTCCGAATCTGTACCTTAGCAAATGTTTATATACTTTTTGGTGTTTTTAGGGCTTGCTTGGGTTATAAAGTTATTGAAAAAAAAATTAAATTTTTTATACACCATAATATGGGATAGGCGTGATCAATTTCTCTGCTCTTATATAGGTACTAAAGCATCACCCATATGTTTAAATTTTTGTAGATTTATCCTAACCTCAATCTAACCTAGAAAACCCAATTTTTCTACCTTTGACAAAAGAGGTGCACTGAGATCGCCATTTAGTATGGGCGTGTCCTATTATGCGTCACTCTTTGCTTGCAAGAATTTCTAATGATTTCGACTCACATAAAATCGATGTTCACGTTCGCGTCGGAGAGAAAGTTTACTATTGATCTAGACGGACGGGTGGGCATACCTATATTAATTTAGAATTTAATATTGATCATAAGTTGATACCTTCAATGACGAGACCTTATAACGTCTGTGAACCTGCCTCCTAGGTCTTGCAAACGTTTTGACAAAATGATTATACCACCAATATTCAATGGTATGCGTAAGAAAAAAAAAAGATTTGCAAATGTCAAGAGGTGCTAAATCTGCACAAATATATGCTTGACTGGTTTTTATGCCAATATGGAATCTTTTTTTTAATATCATTCTTCTTTTTTTTTTTGCATGTTATAGACTTCAAAAGAAAGTGAAAAAATTATATTCATTTTTAAAGCAAGAAACCACTGAAATTCCTTACGGCTATTCACAAAAGAATGCTTAACAAGTTTTTTGAATTTTTTTTGAGAAATACAATGTATCAAGTTAGGCAATAAAAACTAAATTAGAAATTAATATTCGGCTTGACCGAATTTTTTCATATACACAACGTGCTTTCAGAAGCTATGAAAGAAAGCCTTTACGTTTGGACAAAAGTTTTCAATGGCACTGTAAGTATAACGTTTTTTGCCAGCGTGAACTTCCTGTGTCCCCAACAACAACAAAGTAAAATGTAATAAAAGTAAGCGAACTTTCCGCAACAAATAGATGGCAGGTACTGTAGCAAAGCAGGGGATTACAAAGTAATCAAATGGAAGGTGCAATAAAAGTCATCAGTAAATTCGTTGAAGTGATCTTTAAATCTAAACAGTTCACGGGATCCAAGTGAACTAAGTAAATATTGCTAACTTAATCATACTATTCACTTAGCTTAGTCATAACTGCGTAGTTTCAAATATGCCATAAATTGTATATAAGCGGACACTATTAAGTTTCTTATTAGAATAAATAAATGAAACGATTTTTAAGAAGTTATTCACTCGACTATCGAGTATGATGAACTATAAAACTTTTGTGTAGCATAAGCGGGCTAACGCTTTGCCTTCTCTCAAAATTCTGAAACGTTTCACGTCTGTATGTTGCCAGTTTTGTTAAAGTAGAGATTGAGACACAACCGATGATATATATTGCGTATATAGCTTATAAAGCTACCATCATATATCATATATCATAGAAGAGTAAATGCCGGGGATGCACCCAATTTCTGTTTTCTTTCACTATGGTTATCGGACGTTTTTGTCTGCAAGTTTACGCTGAATCAATTTCTGCGTCGATTCAGCGATTTGAGTTAATGGATCGAGGTGTCAATCTAACATTCAGCACAAGCACGTAATAGATTCATAAGAAAAGATATCGGACGTGAAGGAGAAGAAGAGACTCATGCACGCATTTTTAATATTTTCAAGGTGAGCCAGTAAACGAAAGGGAGTAAAAAAATTAATTATGTGAAATTCCGGCTATAGTCTCTGCATTTTTCCCCATAATGAAACCAGAATTACAAGCTAAAAACTGAGTCGATTTAAAAATCCCTCTTTTTATTGCTAATAGCTGAAGTCTAATAATCAACTAAAACGTTTCATATGTTCTCCAACAGTTAGCAAGAAAAGTGCATATGAATATCACCGACGTCTTTTTTCTTATTGCATGAGGATTTGCGGAAAGCTCTCGCGTGTAAGCAAGAAAAAAATGTTGCCCTTTGTAAAATTCGACGTTTAGTCATTAAAATGCTTTCCCTCAAGAATTATATAAGCACTGCAACGGCTCCCTACCGTATCGATAACTTCTTTACAGGAAGATTTTTCAAGTTTCACAATGTCTTCATCTTTGGTCCTCATTCTTCGTTTGGAGCAATCTTTTAAGATTTATTTAACGGTAATAGCCGCTGGAGGCTGGATCTGGAATGGACAGAAATTCGAATCTTCATATTCATACAATTTTAACAATGTATGCACGAACTTCTGACTTGGTGGCTATCTTCAGCTTTCTCATGCCCACAGCTTCTTTCAACGTGCGACAAACAAACTTTTAATGGTTTCTGATATCTTTCTAATGTTAATTTGGCAGTCAAGGAACTTGAACGATCTTTTCATCAATGATCACAGTTTTTAGGTGTCCCGAGCGTCCATTATGAAACAAGCCGCTTTCAATTAATTTGCCTACAGTAGCAGAGCGTTATTATAGTGAATAAGATCTTTGTAATGAAAGGCCAAAACGCAATATTTTCCATTTTCAAAAAAACACATCGACACAATCAAACGTTTGTCAAATAACAAAACGTCCATTTAAACTAGTTAAACTTTGTTAGCTTTGCTTAACAGAGCATTCACGAACATTTTCCCTAACCTTTGCAGGCTAGTACTACCATCTTCAAGTTCAGACCGGAAATTTGCATATAACAAGCATTAAGCGGCACTGCCATCTGCATTTCAGGGAGAGAATTGTCAATACTACGCAGGATGGATATTTCGTCGCTTCCTAATATCGCATGCGATCTTCATATTGCATTAAATTTTACTTATCGGCAAATAATGTGAAAGAGATTTTTTGTAGTATGTTTTCATTTCAAAACCTAACGGAACTAATGAAATATATAAGCAATCCGATCAACCTGGCATTATTCCACATTATATATTTATCCCCTAAAAATAATTGATCTCAAGACAATCCTTTTTGTTTTTTATTATTCTTTCCTAAACGTACTTGAGAAGGATAAACGATCTCTGAATTAAGAATATCCGAAAAAAGTTATGGATGCCTTTTCAATTTATTGCATGGCTTAATAATTTATAGAAGATAAGTTTGGCTTTGTCAAGTCCGTTCGAGTTATTAAAGTTATTAAAAATACAAGTTGACTGTCACTAACACTTGAATGAAACTTTAATTTTGGAATGCCTTTAAAATTCCCGCAAATAGACAAACGACGACAAAATTCTAGCTGAAAAAGTTTAACTTTATTGAATGTTAACGCATTGTTTTTGCTATTCAGTAAATCTCCCCCAAATTAAATTTTATAATAATTTTGGTTAAATTGAAAAGCAAAGTATCATAGAATTCTATGCACAAACAGCATATATACGTAATGAAGCAAGTTTTATTGATCAAAAGAAATTTCTCTAGTGATAAATTTTAATTAGAATTTTGTTATGAATTGTTAATAAGTTTAATGTTGTTTTGTGCTTATTTGAATATTAAAATTTAATATTATGTCCCGTTAATCCCGTAACCAAAAATTATCAACTCACAATACCAGTTCAATTGCTAAAATTATTTTAATAATCAATTAACTTTTTAAAGTATAAAAACGCAAACATTTTGAGCAATTAGTACAGTTTCAAAAGTGTCTTTAGAAGCTTTAGAATAAAACTAATAGTGAAAATGTACAAATTTGTGAGTATTTGTGAAGAAGATATTTATATGAATAGATCTTTAAAGTATTCATGCACTTTTAGTACGTTGTTGCTGCTTTATTAGCTTGCGTCGCCGCTGCTCCTGTTGACGATGATGTTCATGCTGAAGTTAAGGAATTGAAATCGGACGTACGTGCTGACGGCTTTGATTTCACTTTGGATACTACAAATCATATCCACGAACAAGCTTCTGGCGACGCTCACGGCGTTATTCACGGTGACTTTGAATGGGTTTCACCCGAAGGTGTTCACGTTAAGGTTGCCTATGTAGCCGATGAAGAAGGTTATCACCCATCCAGTGATTTGTTACCTACACCCCCTCCAGTACCCGAAGCCATTTTGAAGGCTCTTGAATACCTTAAAGCCCATCCTCAAAAGGAAGAATCCCACCATTAAATAAACATAATGTAAAACTTCCATCAAATTTTGAAAGAAAATAAATTTGCTTCTAAAAAATTATTTTCTATCAACCCCTTAATATCTAGAGATAATCTTCTAGTTTGAAACAGGACATTAAAATTCAGGTAAGGAAAGCAATCTACGGGCTATTAGTTTTAAACTTTTAAAAACTAGAATCACACAGAAGAGTTGATGTGTTTCACGAAAATTTGCATATGACAATAAATTATTTTAAAAACAAGTAAAAGCACTGTAGTGGATCACCACGAGCCATCATATACCTACAAGATCAGTACACACATCATATTCAATGGCGTTTGTCCTCGGCCAGTGTGCCAAACTTTATCAAAATATTTTAAAGATTGATTCTTATAGAGTGAACACAGAAAATAAGGCGGATAGACGGACAGACAGGCTTGGATCGATTCAGAGAGTGATTTTAAAGCGATCGGCATAATTAAAGATGGTCCCCCCGCATCTTGCACACATCCGCACAAATTTTAGGTTAATTTGTTCCACAAGTCACTTAGGGTATAAAAATTGAGCGTTTGATTTACTCCAGAGATTAGTTAAAGCTACTTTTGTGTAACATATTCAAATTCATGTCGCAGTGACTTCATATGTCTTTCTATTATAGTCTATAATCAAATGAAGTATATATGCTCTTTACTAACGCAGTATGCTGAACAATCTGTCTGTGTTTGTTTAACTTAAAAGGAATATCATAGATTATCTTCCTAGAGTTTGGTTTTAAAATATACGTAGATATGTTCTAAATTCTTAATAAAGTGAGCTTGAAATAGTTTGTAAAAGTTGTGGGAGTTAGTCTGAAAAAATTCTGAAGACCAAATTCGTTACTTATTCGGCTTACGCTAATGTCTTCTTATCCAACTCCTTTTTGTTTTTTTTTTTTTTGCCCTCTTTAACATAAATATCTCGACTACTAGACAAGAAGCAATAGCTGGTGAAAGTAAGTGAAAGAGGAAAGTGAAGAGGAAAGCCGGTGCCAGTTAGAAAGAATTTTGTGTGCTGCAAGCATCGTTTCAATAGATTCTAGACATTTTTACGCATTGCACACATTCAATAAACGTCATATAACTTTTAAAAGTTTTGTAACAAATAGAAACTACTTTGCATTCTTAAAGTACTTGGAGGCTTTTCACAGTTCATCCAGTCGTACAAGGATAGCAATCACTTGATGCTTCTTCAAGGTGTTTAGTTATATATTCTTCTCAGATATAATAAAACTGAGTGTTAGATCTTAAAATATTTAAGCACAACAAATATGCAGCCACCATGCGTTGTAACAAAGACCCGTGACCGTGTGTAGACGTCGTCTTTGACCAAAAATTCATAGCACTTCTAAAAAGCTTATCCAAATTTTATATTATTTCACTCAAGTTGGTGTCACTCTAGTGGAGCTACTTTTGTCTCATATATTTATACAAAATTCAACTGAAGGTATATAGGTTCAGCTGAATTAAACGACATTTAAGATTAAAAATAATCATAAAGTTAACAATTGCATGGGGAACAACAAAAAAAAAAGAAAAGTTTGTATAACTTTGGGCCGAAAGCACCCTCAAAGTCCAAAAAACATCAAACTGAGAGAGTAGCATTAAACGGATGCAGCCAAGCAAAAGCTTAGGTACTGATTGTAGCAATATTAGTTTAGTATATTGAAGGATCGTAGCGCAACATTGAAAAATCGTAAGCTTCGGTATAACGTCATAGATACCGCGTGAGTCAATACGATCGGTTTGGACTTTTGGCCTTAAAAAAAGAATGATTATAAAGCTTGTAAAGTCCCAAAATGGAAAGGCGTGTATTCAACTCAATTTCATTCCGGAGAAATTGTTGTCAATTCAGGTGTTTCTGAAGGGGATTTCTTGCGAACTATTTTATTTATCCTACATATTGATAATGATCTTCTGTCAACAATTAAATTTTCTCATATCGTCAAATTATGTTCGCCCTTTCATTTGGAATTTTAGCCATGTCTCTTCAAAACTAACTAATGTACTTAATGCTCGTTCAGTTCTATCATGTTAATTCAAAAGAAATGTGAGAAGCTGTCGTTTTAAAGAGGAGACTAGTCTTCAACAGCATAAACTTCAATTTACGTATTCAACAGTCTTTCAATAAAGCTAGATCAGTGCTAAGCAAAGAAAATACTATATGTGACCTTAGTACGACCCATACTTGAATATGTCTTGGTTCTATGGTCACCCTCTTATCGTTGCCTGGCTAATCCAACTGAATCTTTGCAGAAGCAATTTTTGCTCTTTGCGCTAAGAAATTTAGGTTGGGATCCATCTGTGCCTCTGACGCAGTATTATAGTAGCTTACGATTTATATCTTTACGTTTGCTGGAAGACGTAGGGAAGGCTTAGGCATTACTTTCGCGGCAAAGTTGTTAAGTGGTGTCATTGACTCGCCTGTTTTGCTAAATGAGACTATCTTTAATTTTCCCATCCGCCAGTCAATGAATTTAATTTTTATAAAACTTAGTCAATGCACGTCCAACTATGAACTTTTTGAGCCATTTAGTGTTTCCAGTAACGATATAAATTAGGTTTATAACCTAATTCCGTTACCGGATCCAATTGGTACCATTAAAAGTACACTTTTGCAATAGTAGTGCACTGTCGACGTCATATTTCAACTAAAGTTTAAAATTTTTATAATCGATTTGCGATCCGCCAACATACGAAATAATTTTGGTCAATTTTTTATTAACTTCGGTATGTTAACACTGGTTAATTTTTGCGACGATATCTGCTGCTGGTGACTGAGTCACATGAATTTGTGATTTTCTCTTTGCTTATTCTTTCTAATGTTTTCTTCTACCCCATTGCAACGAGGTTAAGCCTTTATTTTTAAGGATTATGTAATTCAGCTTAATATGTACTGAAGCTGAATTCTCTAACTTTATATACGCGATTATATAATTAAATTTAAACGAAATGTGTCAAAATTTCATGAGATTCTGACAGTTAGTTTACTGGCTTTAATCCCTATGTGTGTCACTGGTGATCAAGAAGATTTATGGGCAGAGGAAAAATGTGTAGTACTCGGGCACTCCCGACTTGAAAATGAAAACATTTGAAACACTGAACAGTGCTGCATGGAGGCTTACTTGAGACAGATCCCCATATTATTACCTCGATCAATTCAGAATTACTTTCTGAATCGATTTAAGTTTGTCTCTCCGACTGTCCGTATTATTTTCTTGTAATTACACTAAAACGGTTCAGATTGGCCCACCTCTCTGACCAATTTTCATATAACGCCTTATTTTGAAATCGTCTTTGACTGAACAATCGCATTAAGCGAAGTGTTGCAGGGTATGAGGAGAATGAGTGCACTATAGTGTTTTTATTTGTTTTTTTGAAACACTTTGAAAAGCGTTCGCCCTGAGGCAAAGATATCAGTGTAGCTAAAATTCCGACCTGCCGGTTCAATATAAAAATACATTGAGGGGCATGAGGAAAGCATATGGACAGACGGACAAAAGGATAGCCACGCTAATATCGATTCTGAAGTTGTGTTTGAATTGTATTAATTAATTTCACAAGGTTTTTAAGTCGACCGAAGGTATTCCCTTTTCAACATCCACAAACACTGGAGCACGTTAAGAATCTGCAGCAATGTCTACCCGTCTATCTACTGTCGTATTCTATTGGCATGTTAAAAATTTCGAAAGTTGAGTCACACAAGTTAATCTTGATATAAGCATCCTTGCCTAGTTGAAGGCCGTAGAAGAAATTTGAAAGGAAGGAGACGATGGCGCGGGTAATGGGACCGCAACATATAAAAAACTCAAATTTACTATCTCTAGCAGGCACTAATCTAAAACTTGAATCAAATCGCGCCCTATCCACAAACACGACTATTAAAAATTAATTTGCGATCGATTAGGGATCTGGAACGTTACTTTGGTACGAAGTGGTTCCTGTAGCAATGCAAAAAAAAGTGAGGTTAAAAAGGAGTTTCGATTTTTGGAATCGCACGCCAAAAATGATAAAAATGCGTTTTTTTCAATGTTATTGAGTTTACATTTCACTCTTTATTGAATGAAAGTTTTTAATTTTTTAAATGCAACAAATTTATTCGACTCGATTAGCGATCATTTGACCTGAGTTTCAATTAGTGTTTGGCTTCTTCTTTTTGGGGATGAGCGTTAATGAATTCAAGAGCCTTTAAGATGGCTACTGGTACTGGAGGTGGAGTAGGGAGCAAGTCACTAGATGGGTGATAACCTTGTTCATCGGCTGTATAGGAAACCTTGACATGAACACCTTCAGGTGAAACCCATTCAAAGTCACCGTGAACGTTGCCATGAGCATCTCCAGATGCCTGTTCGTGAATATTGTTGCTGGTATCCAAAGTGAAATCAAAGCCGTCAGCACGTACGTCCGATTTCAATTCCTTAACTTCAGCATGAGCATCATCGTCAACGGGAGCCGCAACTACGCAAGCTAACAAAGTGGCAACAAGTACCTGGCAATGTAAGACACATTTACAATCATATTGAATTGATGATAATCACTTTTATTGTTGTTGGTTTCACTTACAAATTTGAACATTTTCGTTGTCTTTTGTTTTTGTTGTTGTTGTTTCAGTAAAACTGTTTTTAGAGTTAATTTGCGATAGAATATACCTTTCATCTGGTGAATGCAGGATTATATATACTAAAAGAGAAAACATTTTAAGAGGAGAAATTCTGGATAACGAGGCAATTATTTCAATTATTATTATACCCGAATCATTAAACTGGTTTCGTTTTCGATAATCGATTAAAACAGTGTTTTAAAAATAAATAAAAAAAAAAAGATCTGGTTTAGAAAAACTGGTTGCACAAATATTTCTAAAATATGCAAAATTCGTTATAAAAATAATAATAATAATAAAAAAAAAAAAATAAAAAAAATCAAGAGCAATAAAAAGTATTTGTTAGCTTCGCTACACGTTTAACAACGAAACAGTAAAACTATTAAAAATGTTTATTAATTTAAAATTATTGATCGAATATTGCGTGAATATGTCATCATATCATGTGATTGATATAGGGGAAAACTATATAAAAACTGTTAGCATGATTGATCCAAATATCAGTGTTCTAGTCAAACTAATCACAACACGCATCAAAAAGAAAAAATGTTCAGATTTGTAAGTTTTAATCAAATATAAACAAAGTTTTGTTTAAATAAATATTTAAAAAAAAATTCTTGAAAACTAGATTACAATTTGCGCTTTGGTAGCCTCGGTGGCAGCTGTCGTCCATCATGGTCATGAAGAGGAGCATCACTATGACGGCCATCATTCGAACAGCGACGATGTCCATGCTGAATTAAAAGCCTATCATGCTGATGTTCATGATAAAGGATTCGAATACGCTTATGAGACCAGCAATCATATCCGTGCCGCTGCTCATGGCGATGAACATGGCAACCATCAAGGCGATTTCGAATGGGTTGATCCTCATGGCGAACATATTGCTGTGAAATACGCCGCTGACGAGAATGGATATCATCCCGAAAGTCATGTTTTGCCTACACCTCATCCCATCCCCGATTACATTCTCCGATCGATTGAATATATTAACGCTCATCCTTATCATGAACCCGAACATCATGAACATCATCAAGTCCACCACGAATCTGCCCATCATAATCAACATCAAGGCTCTAACAACCACTACGGACACAAAAAATTCTAAGCCTGAGTAAAGGAATGAACTGGTTTCTAATGAATTGAAGAACTATTATACGTTATTTACTTCTTTTTAAAAATAAATAACAATTCGTCTAAAAATGCTTGTGTATGTATGTTAATCTATTTGCGAATATAAATTTTAACCTTCATTGTTGAAGAGCGGAAGCTTTTAAAAACCGGTCGTAAAACATCAAAATTTAATCGCTTAATACAATACAACTACAATTGACTCCATTTCAACTTCGAAGAAAAGTGCAGGAGTCTTTTATTTTATTACCACATTTAAAAAACAAACAGTTTATAGGTCAGTTGTTAAGTAACCGATCCCAAGTCAATAATCGATGAAATTCGATGCAATGAAGAGAATATGAAAGAATTTGATTAGTTTTATCTTAAGGAAATCATTTCGATTGCATGCAACGATTTGATGTCTCCTAAGCTTAAGCGACGCAAAGTTATTTTTAAAAAGTTTTTCTTAAGAGTTTCAAGTATCTATAATTGCCTAGTGGATAAGATCTCTATTCCCATAAAGTCTTAAATGCCAACATTTGCTCGGTAACTTTGTCTTTTGTGCACATAATTTTTTTGTTTGTCGGTTTGCCTCATAAGATGTTAAAAAATTTTTATTCACATTTTAATGAAAAATGCATCGTTTTTTTTATTAATCTTGTTACGCTTACATCCATAATGCAAACCTTCTTTTCAACAAATCGATTTTTTCGTCCTTTGATCGAAGACATCGAGTTTCCTTCAAAAATAGTCCGCTAACATGCCACTATAACCACTGCTCAATTTCAATTATCATCAATACTTTCCCATCCAGAAGGAAGATTTCCTTCTTTTCTATGTTCTCTATTAAATTTTCTCCTTCCTTTTTTAGTTCTTGTTTTCCTATAAACCCATTTGATTTTTTTAAAAAGGCAATCATTGTCGAACGGAACTAAATTCCATAGCCTTTGACGGCTTTGGATATAATTAAGTTAAACAAGTAAAGGAAACCGTAAGGTAAAGCGGTTTGCTTTTATAACATTCTGCTCTGTCTTGTCTTGACAGAACGTATTAGACAAATTTACAGCATATAATTTAGAGGTCACCTTTAAAAATAGTTCCAGGACTGAGCTCACAACTTTGTATTTATTTAGTTAATTAAAAAAAGTTTAAATATGCTGCTTGGGCCTGGGCTACAAAAATGTTGTATGAAAAAGTTCGATATTAATACAATTTGCTGTAAGGGAATGTCCGACCGCATGCTTGCAATTTGTTTGCTTCGAATAAGTTTGATTTAGTTCGAAACAGTTCCCTTACATTCACTCCAATTCTATTAAATTCAAATCGACCAGTTTTATTGAACCTGGATTAGCTTAATTCATTCGTTCAATTTAACTGAGCTGATTTAATTGAATTCCCTTTTAATTCGAAATTCAATCAATCAATCACATTTCAGTCCCATTTAGTTCATTCACTCGAATTCATTTATTTAATTCGATATTCGGTTTGAATTAATGTAACCCCATTCAATTCAGTTCATTATTACAATTCAATAGAATTGTACTGAACTTCTTCAACTTAAAGCATATCGGTTCAATTTAGTTCGAAGTGAATTATTTGAATTTAATATCGATTCATGCAAATTCAAACAAATCCGAATCAATTCTGTTCAACTCATTTCCAGTGAGAAGACGTCATTTCAGTTGAATTCAATTTCAATTTCTGAATATCATGAGTCAATTGAATTTTAGTGAGCTCATTCAACTGAACGCATATCGATTCAATTTATTATTAATTTCGCCAGAGAAATAAATTCGAAGACTAAATTCTTAAAGCACTAGCATCTAAGGCTATCGGATTTTATTAAAAACTCTACCGCACTTGAGATTCGAAGCCACGACTATTGAGTTGCTAGTCGAGATTCCTCACCTTCGGCCACTCAGGCGGATAGATTCAGTTTAATTCGTACATTTCCAATGAAAAGACATCATTTTACCGGAATTCAATTCTATTGCTTTTAGTTCGATTCAATTCAGCTCGAATAAATTGTATCTGCTGCTCTTCGCTTTGTTTCAACAAAATATCAAAATTATTTTTATTTATTTACTGCTTATATATATTGTAAATGCATACATAATGTAAAAAATTTAAGAGGTTGCTTTACATCGTATGCCCGCCTTGAGATTTGAACCCGCGACCATTGAGTTGTTGGTTGCTATCCTTTGCCTAGTCACTTACTCATGTCGATAATATCACATCATACATAAAACCGATTCAATGTCTTTATTGACATCTACATCTAAATCTTTCCGCTTAAAACATATTTCAATTGAATTTTATGTATTTCATTCAAAAAATATATGCACACTCACAGACAAAAACACCCATCAACATGTATAAGCCAATCCCTTGCATACTTATCAGAATTATCATCATTCAAAGAATGAAAAAAAAGGAAAAAATTGTCCGTCTGGTTATGGTGTAGATTTATTATTTTATAAATGGGTTGTTGGTCTATACGAGATGTTAGAAAAAACAATTTAAAAATATTTTGCTTATTATTCAAGCAAATTGCCATTTGATGCATTAAATTCTGATTCAATTACTCTTTTATGAGATATTGCAAATTTCCTAATAAAATTTTCATTTAATTGTTGTGAAAAGTATTGATTACTTAGTCATGTTTCATTTCTTTTGCTTCTTCAAGCAATTATCCAAGTCGTAGTAAATTTTTTTTTTTTTGAGAAAAAGCCGTAACTTAATAAATGAAGTCGTCTCTTTTCAAAATTATCTTATATGAATTTTGCATTTTGTCTGTAAGCTAAACGTGAACGGCGTTATTGTATATTATTTCGGTATAAAGAACAATAAAAATTCATTTCATTGATCAAAATTGTTTGCATACTTTGTTGGTATAACAAAAGTCGTCTTATGCCGTTTAAAATATACTAATAACTAGTTATACATAAATTAAAGTATGTAGCGATAGTTTGGCAAATATTACGGACAAAAATCGTATATAAAAACACTTAGAGGTCCAAATCAAAGCATCAGTTTTGCAATCAACTTAAGTTTGGTCAAATCGTGTGAAAATATAAACATGTTCAAATTTGTGAGTAAAGAAGAAGAAGAAGAAGAAAAAAAAAAAACAAAAAACCCAAAATTGGAAACCAATATCTTAATATACGTAAAATATATATTCATTAGGTTATCGTGTGTGCTTTAATAGCTAGTGCGGCGGCCGTCCATGAAGAGCTTCATCATGATGAACATCATTATGATAACCATCACTCGAACAGCGACGACGTTCACGCTGAGCTGAAATCCTATCATTCTGACGTACATCATAAAGGCTTTGAATACGCCTTTGAGACAAGCAATCATATCCGTGCAGCCGCTCACGGTGACGAGCACGGTAACGTTCAGGGTGATTTCGAATGGGTTGATCCTCATGGCGAACATATTGCTGTGAAATACGGCGCCGACGAACATGGATATCATCCCGAAAGTCATGTTTTGCCTACACCTCATCCCATCCCCGATTATATCCTCCGTTCGATTGAATATATTAACGCTCATCCTTATCATGAACCTGAACATCATGAACATCATCAAGCCCACCATGAACAAGCTCATCATCATCAGCAACACCATGAGCCCGTGCATCACCATGAACCTGTTTACCATCAAGATTCTCACAGTCACTATGGCCAAAAGAAAATCTAAATTGAATTTTATTTGCAAATTGTAAAATGTTTCATTGGATATATTCAAGTCTTTCAAGTCTTCAGTGTAATAAAATTATTTAAAATAGATCAGAAAAATCATCCAAGTTGTTCATCGTTGTCTTTTCCAGATATTTATTTATGGTTTAGTGCATTTGCATTATAACAGTTCAATGCCAAGGTAACAAACACGTATTGCAATAAATTCAAGGTTAATTTGCAAATTGTTATGCGAAGAGAAACCTTACCGTCCTACATATGTTTGTTGTTTCGATATATAAACCGCTGACGCTTATTAGAAGATGGAAATCTTCTGTTCTCCGAACGAATTAATTTCGAAATGCCTGAACCGTTTGAAATTAAGCAATTAAAGCAACAGCTCACAGAGTAAGCACCGTCTAACGTTTCCACGATTCCAATCTCCTTGTATTTGCGAACACAGAGAAAAAAACACATGCATACAAAAGTGAAAAGTATGAGAAGAAAAGATTGCAGACAACTACCATCTTTTCTAAGCCAAATCATTGAAGGGTATAATCCGTGCCTAATAATGTGTTAAATATACTTAGACAATAGATCTCGATCACCTTAGTTTTGGAAGCATCCATCTTGCATTTGTCGTAACCCATCTAATCATTTTAATGCATTGAGTTAACGCTCATGGCACAGTTAATACAATATTTTTGGTTTGAAATTTAACTCCATTTCATTGAAATGAAATTAGATGAATATTGATGAGTCGATAGTCACTTTGTGTATATTTATGCCAAGTATGAACAAGTAAGAATATTATAATCGGACAAGGCCGACCATTAAATACCGTATACCACATGGTCTAACTTAATTTTTTTATTTTAGGAATATTTCTCGTGTGCTTATTTATGGAGAAGCGGGTCCAAAATGCAACTTAATGTAGTATAAGATCTAAAAACCGACGTAGATGGATCATAGTTTGCAGAATTTATTTTTGTATGAAATTACTATTATGGGTCAATCTTCATCACCACATATTAAAACTTAGACTTTTCTGCTCTACGAAGTATCGATTTTCGTAAAAATCGAACGACTTTTCAGAATAGGACATTATATGGAAAGCGATTGAAAACATGGACCGATCAGGGCCATTTTCAATAGCATTCATCCTTGAGACTCTCTTAATTTTTTACCAGCTTTTTTGTTTCTTTTATAAATTCTAAAAACATCGAACGATGTGTCCTCACAATTCCAATAATTGAAGCTACGAACTGGTATAAGAGAATTTTGCGGACAGCTGCATCAATCAGTTCATCAATTTGCTCTATAGCGAATTTATTCGTAATATTGGGAAACATATATACCGAGAAGTGTATGTCAACATCTCTTATAATGAATTAATCGTAAGCTCTATAAACGTGCTTGGAAATGAATCGCAAAGAATACAGGAACACAGTATGGGAAGAACAATGCAAGTGTAGGAACATTGCTTTTGAAGGACTTTGAAATAAATTTTTCATTTAATTTTAAATAACACGAGCGATTTCGTGGCTTAAATGCAATTGTCAGTACTGAACACTAGCAACAATATCAAAGGTGTAAACTTTGACGAGAGATATTAAACCCGTAGAAATTCAGCATCGTTTTGTAAACCTTTTAACGTAATTATCTCGGTTTAAAAATAATTCTAATTTGACACAACTAGCAAGAATTTATAGAGCGATAATCACTTCTTCTTTGTTTTAGACGCTTCATTCAATTCTCAAGGAATATGGTTACCACACGGATTGACTGAAAATGCCATTTCGAACAATATCAACATAGCGGTTTCATTGCTTGCGAAGCAAAAAGAGAAGAGTGATGTATTATGACTGATGATGAAAAGTGGATATATTATGACAATCATAAGTGCAAAAAGTCATAGGGTAGTTCAACGGAGCCATCCACATCGACACCGAAACGGAATATTCATCGCCATAAAGTCTTGCTGCACATGTGATGCGATCAGCAAGACGCAGTGACTTACGAGTTGCTAAAACTCTATGAAACTGTTTCTGCGAATGTTTTGTGTTGAGATGTGTAAATAAGACCCGCAATAATGATTAACATACGCAAGGTCATCCTCCTACTTGACAACGCTCGGCTACAGGTTGCACGTATTGTCAAGGATACACTGTTACAGCTCGAATGAGAAGACCTGCTGCACCTAGCGTACTCACCTGATATAGCGCAAAGACTACGTAGAGAATCTTCAACCCCGTTGTATACCACGTAATTTCCACGAACTCGTGTGCGTTCGTAGATAATAAGTAAACAATGCGTGTAAAATCAGTAGAAATAGTAGTGTCGTGTAGATATATAAAGAACGTCCAGACAGGCGCAATGTTCCCTATCTATCTTCTACGCATTATGTTTTCCTTTTTCTCGTACATGTAATATGTAGAAAACGTTTTAACATATTTTAGAAATTGTCTGCACATTCACAAAGTCGCATTTCTTGAGTGAAAATTGTGCCAGCTCTTCTTTCATATGAGAAAAACACTAAAATAAAACCAGATTTCTTTTCCGCGTAAGTCGAAAACCAGGGCTCAGATTTTGCTTGGGCCTCTTTTTAAATAAAAAACATGAGTTTGGAATCTACTGCGATCGAAATAGTTCCGCCTTAAGTCTGTGCTCGCTATGGAAAATAAAATTCCCAAATTTTCTAGCATGCGATAAAAACTTGTAAATTTCTTTTCCATAAAACTCGAAAATGTCTGCTTGCAATTCTCTCAGCATAATCGTAAATTACTTATGACATAGATTCACATCGTTTACGAAAAATAAATGCAATGGCGATGGGAATACTTACATTATCCTTCTCAATATTACTTTTAAAGACAAAGTTTCTTCATTTAATTTTTATTTATTATTTTATTTATAATCTTTTTATTTAAATAAATGAAAATATGAAAGGTTAAGTGATGGTATGACAAAGCAAGCGGAATGAATATGTAATGTTACGTATTTATTATTCTACAGTACGTAACTAAGTATATATTTAAAGTAAATTATTTTACTAAAATCAATTATGATTTTTATTATTTTAGGATCGACAAATGACTTAACAACAGCTGAAGTGTATTGATTAGGTCCATTTATCACAATAATGTTTTTATTTGGAAACTCATAAATATTTATTATTTGTTTGCTATTAGCTGTTTGCAAAAATTTTGATCATTTTTTCACTTGAAAAGAGCATTTATTGTGGGAAATTGGTACATCACGGTTTCCATCATTTTCTACAACATTTTACAATATTTTTGGCAACATGGCGATGTCATGTCGAAAGAACTTATATTGGTTTGGCTGCGATCCGCCTACCAACACATTTTCGCACTTTCTTAACTTTGTGGACCGGCGTGCTGCACCGATCTCAAGAAATGGTAAACAAAAGGCGTCATGTCTGGTGAGTACGCTGGATGTAGCAGAACTGCCTATTCAAGCTGTGCTAATATGTCCTGAACAACTTTTGCAAGAAGAGGCCAAAAAATGGCATTTTCAGTCACTTCGTGTCGTCACTTTGAGACCGTTGAACCCAAAACCGACAATTGGGATATGATGGAGCAGCATCACCATAAGCCTCCGAATGTGTTTGGTAGACTTCGGTAGCAGAGTCTTCAAATAAACAACAGGACTAATGAATTTGGAAGAAGAAGAATTTTCAGCGCTAATAAATGGAAAACTATTATTTTATGTAGAGGAAGGTCAAAACCATCGAATTCAACCGTTATGTATGCTGGTATTTCCCACTCTTTTATCACTTTTACCTGTCGCTGATCAAAATTTTTGCAAATACCTAATAACTGCAAGAGCGCAAAAAAGAAAAAATTATGAAAATATACGAGATCGACAAAGCGTTTAATCGAATCATATAAAACAAAAAAAGTAGTAAAGATTATTATCCAACACGGAAATGAAAAGAAGAAGCAATAATTATAAATAATAAATCACGCTTTAGATACAACACGGTTTCTATACCGCTATTGCACTATTTGTGGTAAGGAAATGTTCAGCTTGGGCGGAAGTGTGCAACATCCACAAAGAGTTCACTAGGACTACAACAACCTCCTCTGAAAAATTTTCTATGCGAAAAAACCTGCAAAGAATCGTATTTCGGCATAAATAATTCTGGAAAATTTGGATAAAAAGGCTTCAGTTTTTAATCTCTTTCCTCTACAATCGTTTCGACAAAAATTGTAATTGTCAGCGTTTTGTAATGGAAGTTAACCCAGAGGGTTGATTCGACAATTAAATTTAGACCACATTAGTCTGTTTTTCGGACTCCCACATGTTGAGTCTATGTCCCAGAGAGCATATAAGAGAAAAAATTCGCTATCAGGTAGTTTTTTAAATGATTTAAAACATCTTAAAAGTTTGAGAAGAAGCCACCAGCCGAACGACTCATATGTGTCCCTGCTCATCTGAACGAAAAATATGTAAATAAATTACATGAAAATTCACGAGAAAAGTCTTTAAGAAAAGTACAATTATCTCAATACAATTACAAGGAGCTTTTAACATGCACGTCTGCTCTTATGTACAAAATGATAATTATTGCGATAAATAAAATACAGATATCGTGATACTATGGCATATTCTTTAACGAACTTCATCAATTCTTTTTGCAAATATCATTACGCTATGTACGGTGTATATTTCCTCCCTGCGTATGAGAAGGTGAAAACGATATATAAACACAACTCTTTTTTTACACGGTCTTTTTTACACGATTTTGAAATAACACGGGTCACGGTTTTTTTACACAAATGTTTTGTTCTAGCATGAATCCAAAACAAAAAAAAAATTTTTTAGTTCTAATATCGACCTTGTGTAACAGAACATCGACAAAATACAATTGCGAGAATAATGTGATCAGAGATTAGTCGGTTTATGCCCACACATGTATTACGAATTGCCCGTTAATGACGGACGAAATTCTTTATTTGAATCAGACTCGATAGTTGTACTAGACATACCCGACATCCCTTCTGATGCTAGCATTATTGATTCAGTTCGTAATAAACGTGCACGCTTGCTATCAAGCAGCGATGAGTAGTTGGGAAATTGATTTTTATACCTAATTTCAATGTCAGTTTCAATTTTTACATGTAGTATATACTTAGTGACTGCATTTTCACTGTACACTCAGTTCAATTTGGTTTTGTAATAAAAAACAAATTTTGGTTTTACAAATGTGTTATATACATTTCATTATTACTTGTTTTGACCGCTTTCTTGAAAAAATATATAAAGTTTTTTCATTCTGAAGGATCTGCTATCGCCAAATTTTCCATATGTCGCATGCATTTTTTTCTATGATTTTTTGCAACGATTTTTGAGGAACACATCAACCGCGTAAGAAAGGAGTTAAATGTATATATATATATATATATTTTTTTTTTTCATATTCTTGCTTACCATTGAAGATTTTCTGTGCACAAGTATTACTGACATTAAAAATAACCTTCCAATATATAGATAGAAGAACGACGATAGCTTCGTAGTAATTATTACGGTGCGATTGTATCGCTCCACCCTGTATACTATTTAAGTAAACGAAATAAGAGCAAAAGAATAACAAGAAACAGAAAATAACAATAACAGAGATAAAAAAATATTAAGTTGATTAAGCATTATTTATGCTTCTCTGTAAATAATCTGAGGCGGCCAAGCTATCGCTGTATGCGAGCAAGAAAAAGCGCAATTTCTTTGTAGAGAAGATCGCATAGCTTTCTCTTATAATTTTAAATTACTCTCCATTAAGTCTATTTAACTTTTGCAAAAATCAAAACTAAATTTAAATTTAGTTTTTCGAATGCATTATCGGTGAAGAGGTCGCGCGCTTTAACTTGTTTTTGAGAAATTTTCTTTGTTTCATATATTTTTTGTTTTTTTTTTTTTTCTTTTCATTTTATCAATAATTACGCGAAATGCTTTTGTTTTATGGTTTGATATTGTCATGCGGTTTGGCGTCAATGGTGTCAGCTGGCGTCTTTCCGAATTATCACGGTCAGTTTGACTTCATTACTTGGGATAAGGAGAAGAGTTTGCACGACTATGAAAGCACAAAGAAATGGTGGGAAATTGCTGCATTTTATCAAATTTATCCAAGGTCATTTAAGGACAGCAACGGAGACGGTGTGGGAGATCTAAAAGGTATGCCAATGTACATAAAATATTCCAAAAATTCAATAAACCCATAGAAATGAAAATAAATGTTCAGGTATAACCGAGCAATTGCCATATTTAAAAGAAATTGGCATCAATGCTACTTGGTTATCGCCAATTTTTCCCTCACCCATGGCTGATTTTGGTTATGACATATCTAATTTTACCGATATTGATCCCTTGTTTGGCACTATGCAAGATTTTGAAGACATGGTAGCCAAAGCTAATGAACTGAATATTAAGATTATATTGGATTTTGTACCGAATCATTCAAGCGATGAATGCGAATGGTTTCAGAAATCTATCGCTAAAGATCCATACTATAAAGACATGTATGTTTGGCATCCAGGGAAAATTATCGATGGTAAACGACAGCCGCCCACTAATTGGCGTAGCGTTTTCCGCGGATCGGCATGGCAATGGCATGAAAAACGTGAAGAGTACTATTTGCATCAATTCGGTAAAAAGCAACCGGATTTAAATTATCGTTTACCGCAAGTTAAAGAAATGATGAAGGTGAGGAAGACTAAAAGGAAATGATAAAAAAGAATCGAAAATTTGATAAATTTATTAAACCTTAGGAAGTGATGCGCTTTTGGTTAAGGAAAGGTGTGGCTGGATTTCGCATTGACTCAGTCGCCCATGTTTACGAAGTCGCTCCTAATTCTTTAGGCGATTGGCCAGACGAACCGCGCAATATGGCTGTTAACGATCCCGACGATTGGTCTTATCTTCAGCACACATATACCGTCGATCAGCCGGAATCAACGCAATTACTTTATGAATGGCGGAAAGTGTTGGATGATTTCCAGCAGCAGCATGGTGGTGATGAACGTATTATTATGGCAGAAACATATTCACCGATCGAAGTGATAATGAAATATTATGGTAATGATACTGTTAACGGTGTCCAGATACCGTTTAACTTTCTTTTAATCACTTGGTTGACAAATGCTTCATCGGCTTATGATTATGCCAAAGCAATACATACTTGGCTCGACAACATGCCAAATGGAAGGACAGCAAATTGGGTGGTAAGTGTATAAAATAGAACAAATATGTTAACCTCTGGCAGTGTTTGTCTTATTAAAAATTTATAAATGAATTTACGTTTGAGTGAACTATGATTATAATCTTTGATGTCCGAGTAACAAGAAGAGCGTCAATATTTCCAGCTGGGCAATCATGACCAACATCGTTTAGCTTCTCGTTTGGGCGAGGATCGTGTGGATATGATGAATATATTGTTGTTAAATTTACCCGGTTGCAGTGTTACTTATATGGGAGAAGAGATCGGTATGTCTAATGTCTGGATTTCCTGGAATGACACTGTAGATCCGTCAGCCTGCAATTCCAATCCTAATATTTATGAAAAATTGTCGCGAGATCCTGAACGTACACCATTTCAGTGGAGTGACGAATATCAAGCCGGTTTTACGACAGCCAAAAAAACTTGGTTACCGGTAGCTCTAGATTATGCAAAAGTTAACGTCAAAGAAGAACGTAAAGTGAAAATGAGCCATTTAGATATTTACAAGCAATTACAGGAGTTGCGAAAACAACCTACTTTGCGCCACGGTTTGGCCGAGATCGCAGCAATCAATAACAACGTGTTGGCTGTAAAGCGGTATGATTTTATTTGAACGGAATTAATCAAGGAACCGTTTTACGTTCATATGTTTTTTTCAGTTACCTTTTGAAAGATTATACTTACGTGACTTTAATGAATATCAATGATAACCGAGAAACAATAAACTTACGCGAAGTCTTTAGTGACCTCCCCGAAGAAATGATATACATTTTAGTTACTAAACAGTCCGAAAACAAAATAGGGTAAGTTTGAAAATTCGTAAAATTGTTTTTTGAATCACTAATTAAGTTGCACCTTTTTTTTCTTGAACAGAACGCGCGTACGTATTTCCAGCGTACAATTGAATCCCAAAGAAGCAGTGGTACTAAAGTCTTTGACTCAACTTGCCACCACGGCTGGTTATTTCGTTTATTATATACATGAATCACCAAAAAATAAAATCGTTTAAGTATTTTAATGTTTTTAATTTAAAAATTTTCTCAAAGAAATTAAGGCGTTTTTAAAAGATAGGTATTAAAAAAAGAAAACAAATGAAAATATTGTGGTAGGGGCTAGGCCAACTTTTAAACACCTTACGCCCCATTGCGGAACACATTTGATAAATTTGCCATAGAACATAAAAATTATATTCTGTTTTTATAGGAACACACTATTATAGGACTGTATATTGAAAATTAGACCTCTTTTCAAATGTAGTCTTGCGTTCAGGTTATGCCCGAGAGGTTCAAAAATTGAGGCCTTTTTTTGTATTGTTCTTTATGTCAAATTACTATTATTGGCCAATTTTCATTTGAATATGGATGAGTCGATAGTCACTTTATATATAATTACGTTAAGTATAAACAAGTAAGAATATTAGAGTCGGATAAGGCCGACCATTAAATCCCTTACACCACATTGTCTAACTCAAGAAAAAAATTATATTTTTTTTTCTATATAAAGGTATTTTTTTCATGCGCGACCCAAAGCTTAAACACAAAAATACGTGGATAGATAGCAGACGGACAGACAGGCTTAGATAAGTTCAGATTATGATTCTGAATCGATCGATATAATAAAAGGTCGGTCTTAAGCCCTTCTGCCTGTTACACTCGTCCTCACTAACTTCCTATATATATAGAAATGATGAGTGGGCTAAAGCTAGATTTATATTTTATATAATAATCTTTTCATCAACGGACGGCTATGGCAATAAGCATAAGATATTCACTTCTTATTGAACCGTTTACAAAAATATTTACTCAAGCTCTGTAGTTCTCAAAAGAACGTCGAATAGATGATTACGAGAATGGATGGTAATGCTCTCCGTAATATTAAGCCAGTTTCCAGAATAAAAAATTTGTATAAAATGATTATAAAATGAAAAAGAATTATGGGGAAGTGTAAGATGCATAAGAGCGTAACCACCATTAATTTACTGTCTGGTTTCCTAATTGGAAAGACATATTTTGATAAATTTTGGTAAATGCATTCGTGTAACAATAGGCAACATATATTCTTGATAACCACGACAAAACCAACATATTTACATACATAAGTAAGTATATAAAAGTTGCAATCTTTTTTAAGGGGGTAGTATCAACCGATGAACCTTCGTAGAAAAAAGTGTTATTAAGCTTTAGATAACGTGTTAAGTAACGTGTAAGTTGTAATGGTTTTTGTGGTCATGGCCGTGAAATAATAATTCACTTTTTTTTCGTGGTTCAATTTTACGGTCGAACCTTCACAAAAACAAATATTCGAAGCACGTTCGATGTGCAGGCATGCGAAAGAACGGACAGACGTCCACATTGGGATGGATATGAAAGAGGCTGAAGTAAACCATAGGCTTAAATCACTTAATAACATTCATAATTTATAGGTTCTCTGAGAGATGCATGTAGATGTTATGAACGGACGAATTAGTTTAGTATATTCAATTACAGCGTTAATGATGATATTGTTTAAAAAAAATTTTGGTCATAATTGCTATTAAATAATAAATCAGATGTAACGTTTCTGTCACCTAAAAAGTACGAAGGATATGCTCTTAGCTTAAGGAAGACTTTTGGATAAGCGGTATAAGCGGTAGAATATTTCAGATTTTTTTTTTTTTTTTTTGCAGGACTATATCTACATTACTCTATTAAATGTTTATAAAAAAATTGGAGCCATTCTTTAGTTGCAGCCAATTAGCGCTCTTTGAAGTTTTTTGCTACTTTTATTTTATTTTGATGTGTCAGTGTATTTCAAAATCTACTTTTTGCTCAACTCTAAAGGAGTAAAGACAGATATAGTGCTTGGTTCACTGAATGCTTTGAATTAATTAGTTAATTAATTGGCATACGTAAGGGATCGTAGTTGAAGTGATAACAGTATTGACTTTTCATGGCAAATACAATATGTACTGGGGAGTTCCTCACATTCGATGATTATCTTGTTTTAACTGAGAGCTTATTTTAATCTTAGTTTTTGTTGCTATTCATCCACTTTAGTAATTTAACGAACTTTAATCTCCGTAAAGCAATGGAAAAGAAAGAGGAAACTTGAAGCTGTAAAATTAATAATTACATTTTTTAATCACCTAATGTCTGAGCCAAAAATGTTGATGATATAGGATTGTGGTAGCGTCACGCAGATAGCGGAAATGTTACTTCATTAATTGGGTTAATTGGTTTACGTGCAACTAATAAATAAAGAACTGAAGCAAAAGAAACTAAATGGGACGAACTTGAATAAGATTCGATAATTTTTCTTATTTCTGACGCGAGACAGTCTTATGTCGACAAATATGGTAGTACAGCGAAATCCGCTTGCTATTGAAGAAAGCATATTCGAAAGCTCTATCCGTTTTTCAGTTAACATTTAATGATCACGAATACATAATATACGAGGAAAATATTTGATAATGTGTGACATCACAACTGGTCTCGCGGAAAGAGCTCTTCGTATTGATTGAATTATTTAACTTTGCATAATTCCTGCAAATATCTGGAGTTGAGCTGTGCTTGTGATTTTTTCGCTTGAACTTATTCTGAATTAGACAGTAAGTACCGTTACTCCATCCACTTCGCTTTAAGAAAATTTACAATTTCAATATCTTTTTTGTTCCACACCAATACATAATGTGTTGTCAACATCCATGTTTAACAAGAGAGCGGTAAAATAAAATAACAAGTTCTAGTGATATGATTCCAATCTTCTTACAGTCTAGGCTGCATATAAATATCAAGATACTATCCAGAAATGAAATGAAATTGTGCTGTTGTTATAAAAAATATAATGGACGGTTACATATCATATCAAGGGAGTTTTTTTTTTTTTTTTTAATTTTTTTTATGTATTTGAATTAGTATTATGTTGAGATGAAGCGAGCATATGACTTGCGTTCGTCGATGTTTGTTTGAATGTTAAAATGTATGCGAATAAAACATAAACCTTTCAGTAGCAAAGAAATTTTTTTGACATTGTATTTGGAGACTCCCACCACTTTTACGTAGTTATATACCTTACACCTTTCATGGTACAGGGTATACTAAGTTAATGTGGACTTACGTAACTCGCAAAAGATATTCTCGCCTTTTATTATACCAATCGATTCAGAATCCCAGTCTGAATTGATTTAAGCTTGTTTGTCCGTCCGATGTCTGTCCACGTAAATTTGTGTGCCGGCTGCAGGTCGCAATTTTTGAGATATTTTGATAAAATTTGATGCACCGACGTGTTTTGATTCAAGGACGAACGCTATTGACAATGGTTTGGATCGGCCCACTTATTCTGGAAAGTCGTTATACGGAAAAAATGGCCATTTTCAAAGTTTCTCGGCAAAAGTGCGTAAGTGGTAATATAATTTTCAATGCTTACTGATAAAAATTACATCGTAATATTAATTTAACGAAAAAAATTAACTCTACCCAATTTGGATCATCTCAACCTATTTTTTGCATCCCATATAGTACGTTGCTATAAAAACGGAGTATAATTTTTGTGTTCTATGGCAACAAGAAGAATTTTGTTGGATCAGGCGGTGTAGAGTATTTAATAGTCGGCCTAGCCTAGACTATAATGTTTTCACTTGTTTTTTGTATATTTTAGTATCCTTAGCAACTTTGTATTATTATTTTAAAGTAATGCAAGTAAAGCAAAAATATTTTCAACTTTTAAACAAACAATTACATTTTTTTTAAATATTATTAAAAAGTAACGAGACGAGAGTATTAACTTTTCCTAGAACGTTTGCTGTAAAGGCGAGTTAAATTTCTGGGGATATACGGAACTCGCAGGAGGACTTGAGATGAACTCATCTTTTACTGTAGTAATCCATTAAAATTCATTTTCTTCCTCAAAGTATATCCTTTAACAGGTCTAGAGGGCTCCCAAACCCTTAACCGCACTGTCCGCTTTTAGATTAACTTACTTGCCAGCAGCGCATCCATTACGAATGAGCACAAATGCTACTCCCCGTTCATCCTGCGCTGCATTAAATCTTTCGACACCGCCACAAAGACGTATAGAACACATTCCCTGAACGGGCTGATCGAATAAAAAAAGAACACTATCTTGGTCGACCTAGACCCATCTGTTCGCCGCTTTGTTGACATTTCTTTTTTAAGGTCAAGGTTCAACTATAGGGGTATTTTGATGAAATTTTGCGCATTGGATGTTTTGCCCTTAGGAGAAACGCTTTGAAAAATCAATTTAATGGCATCGTTTTTACAATCACTCTTCAGAAGAAGTCTCATTTTGAAGAAGGCGTTGTATTGAAAAGTGCTTCGATTTTTGTTTTATTATTCGATAAAAATTGGAAAAAATTTTTAAGATGCTAAGCGAATGTAGAATAATTTCACGTTGATAATATTCATTCCCTCAGCGCCATCCAGTTGCAAGTTCTTATATAATACCAAATAGGGCATTATATGGCAACAAGGCCTTCTTTTATATACTTACTGATAACAATTGGTCCGAAGTAGACAGAATTTTGAGCAATACATTAATTCTTCTCCTGAGATTGAACCAAATAAGTCGGTTTACGGACGACTCTCCTTATAGGGAGTCTTATTAAAAGTAAGCCTTTGTACAGCAACCAAGTCTCATTTTGAATATTTTATGAGGAAGCTAGGTGAAGAGGGATATGTTGAAAGTGGCCCTACTGTTTTGCATCATCTACGTTCTCGCAAAGTTGTTAATATCACTAACAATGTATAGAGTTTTTAAACTTATAAGACTTGGGATCATCACTACGAAGTTATCTAAAACGAGTAGCCGAGTACGTAACAATCGCGACCACAAAGTAAGTCAGTATTTGCGGGCTCGCATCTCAGTGTGGTGCAGTTTGCAGTTTGGTTATAGCTATAGTGAGTGCTCAGCAGCTAAAGGCCTACCCATGGAGAATACAATTACCAGGCTAAGCCCATCATCTCATCTCTTTCTTTTCTCATTTTTGATCCTCTGAATGATTGGTCACATGAAAAACGCAAGAATAAACAAATTGCTCGAACGAAAAAGTGCCAAAGTAAGTTTGTGCATATGTTCTGCCCGGCAAAACATTAACAGCAGATTAACATTTAATTAAACCTCCTGTAACTGCATGCAAACATTTGGAGGAAAAGACCTTTTACGAAATTCTTTCACGTATGCACATAATGGCAGTTCGAAATCAGTATACGGATGATAAGTGTGAAAGTCCTGGTCATAAGGTTTTATTCTTTTGCATTTTTATTCCATACCGTAAATGAAAAAATATTCTTTCAAACTAATAATAAACTTAAGAAGTAAGTAATATATTTATTATATTATTTAATTTTTCTATTGCCGTATCTTCAAAGCGCGTTTAAAATGCGTAGAGAAAACGCACGAGTTGGAATTTTCGTTTCGTATTAAGCCACAGTCTAACGCGTACATTTATTTGACCTTTCCTTACTTTTCCATTTCGTTTGTGAATCACGTGAGCAATATGTATTTGAAGAGAGCAAGTAGTAACGGCTTGAACTTTAAACTCTCTAGCACGCAATGTTTGTGTTCCGCTATAGTAATGGAAAGAAATTAGAATATTTTTACGTGCACACACACGCTGTTACACACTTTTTATACTTGGGTGCACATATCTTTTTCCAGCTATTATTTTTATGGGTGTATCAAAAAGCACTTAAGGAATGGCCAAAGTATTCTGTTTGGTTATTAGTGTACTCTCAAATTTTTTACGATTATCCTTTGACTGCTACCGTCTTCTCTTCATCGCATAAGTGATGTTTATGAATTTTATCAAAAAAGACTAAAAATAGATTAGTGCAAAGCATACAAAAGTGCCACAAGCCTTTTAAACAGAACTTTAAGCTTTCATATGTTGCGGACCAATTCTGAATGTCATCTCAAAAAGAAGCTAACATTTTTAACTTTAAATGTTAATTTGACATGGCGCAGAATAAATGAAAGCGAAAGCTTGGTAGGAATAAAAAAAAAAAAAAGAATATTTTTCATGCTTTTATAAATTCTTTGTTTATAAATACATTTTTTTCTTTTTATATAATTTTATACAATTTTGACGAACGACTCGTATTAGTTACAGAAATATGTTTTTACAATATTAAATTTTAGACTGCAATTGCATTAATACACTTTTCTTAAACGATTTTCTATTAACATTTTTTATTTTGATTAAGCAACAAATATTAGTTGGATTTTAAGAAAATGTTTTCGTTATTCACTAGTTTGGTAGTTATTTTCACTTAAAGTTAGAGTTAAATTTTTAATTTATACCTAATTAGAATAATTACATATAAATCTTACAAATATATAAACAAAAAGGCTAAATCGCCTTAGCTATTAATTTCTGGTATTCATATTATCTAATGCGAGCATAAGATTGGAAAGAAAAAAACTTTTTTCTTTTTATAATAAATAATCGTCGGATGATTTTTTTCTCACTACCTTTCTAGAATCCCTAAAAAGAAAGACACGGTCACTAGGTTAGGATAACAGTCTCTATAGTTGAGAGCAGTCCAAAAACTCCAGTTTTTTAGTTTCGGATTTAGTGCAAACTCACACTTGAACATCTATACGCTTCGAGTCTCCGAATGAAATGCACCAATGGCAAGCCAGAGCACAATTTCTTCGAACATGTTGCGTTTTATGTCTCTATCTATCTGTGACACCTTGATTGTGAACGCCAACCAATTCGCTAGATCCAAGACGAAATGTCAACACAACAGTTGAAATTTTTGCTGCCCTTTTTTATGTCGACTTCAGTCAAAGTCTACTTATTTACATATCTCGAAAGTGGTTTAAAATTAAGAAGCGTCAGCAATTTGTTCAGAAATCGATCATAAGAACTTATAACGTTATTTCATAGATTTTGTGTACATCCCACATACAGGCGAACAGCTTGTCAAAAAATCTATTCTTTATTTTCATTTCCATTGTCAAAAGGCTATATAAAAGAAGTGCAAGCAGTGAAACTTATACAAGTGCTGCTGTAAACTTTTTTTACAAGAACGGAAGTTCTCTGTAATCAGAGAGCGCCTTATTTCTCGAATATTTTGGAGCACTTGTCACAGGCTCATAGTAAACCCGGTTACCGAAAATGATCTTGAGGATGTGGATAAATAATGTACGTAAGTAACTAATGCAGATGAGTAACAAGCAAGTAACTAAATTAGATAAGTATATCAGTACGTAAGGCAACTAAATGAAATACTTAAGTAAGTAAAAGTAAGCGGTTGAAATAAGTAAGTAAGTAAAGTAAATAAAGTAAGCAAGTTAAGTAAATAATTTGATTAAGTCAGCAAGTTGAGTAAATAAATGCAAGTAAGTAAACTAAGTAATTGAAAGAGATAAGTTAGTAAGTAAATAAATAAGTAAGTAAACTTCTTAGGTAAGTAAATAAGAAAGTAAGTACGAATAAGTGACTGAAATAAGTAATCAAGTAAAGTTAACGAATAAAGTAAATAATATGAATAAGTAAGCGAGCGAGTTAGGTAAATAAGTAATGTACGTAAGAAAGTAAAGTACGTAAGTAAGTAAGTAAGCAAAGATAAGCGGTTGAAATATGTAATTGAGTAAAGTAAGAGAATAAAGTAAATAATGTAATTAAGTAAGCGAATTAAGTAAGAATTAAGTAAGTAAATAAAGTACGTAAGTAAGTAAAGTAAGCGAGTAAAGTAAGGGATTAAGAAAGCAAGTAAACAAGTAAGCGAGTTATGTAAGTAAGTAATGTACATAACTAAGTAGAGTGCGTAAGTAAGTAACGGCAAGTGACTGATATATGTAACTAAACGAAGAAAAAAGGGTAAGTAAATACAGTAAGTAATAAGTACATACTAAAAGTACTAAGTAAATACTAAAGAAAATAAGCAAGTGAAGTAGCTAAAGTAGGCAATTAAGAAATTTAGTAACAGTACATTAGTAAAACAAGTTAGCAAGTAGGGCAATGTAAGTAAGTCATGTCTTAAAGCTGAACAACCTCAACTAACCTATTGATTGATATTCATCTAAGGCGTGTTTCAGAACACGTTCAATGGATTCGAAGACTCAGAAACGATTTCGCAAAATCTTTCTGCGTTGTCAAGACAGTCGAACAATAGATTTGAACTTTTGAGCGAAGAGTTGTACTTTTTATTGGATAACATTTGGGATAAAGGAAAAAAAAGTTTGATTTATTTACATAAAAATACGCAGGAGTAGTCATAATTGAAAATATTTATTTACATATTTACAAATTTACACGTACAAATTAAAAAAAAAAAAAAAACTACTTATTATTACACTCATTGAACAACCAATTTAGTTTGGAATTAATTTCAAATCATTTTAGAATTTGAAATGATTCGTTATATAAAAACAACAAAAGCTCTCCCGTTGGTTATTATAAATGTAAATATTTTCAGATAAAAATAATTTTTATAAATCTTGCGTTTCGCAGTTACACAGATTTATTTTTATGATTTATTTCCTCTAAACTAATATACTATTATATGTATGTGTTTATTTGCATATAAATAATTTTTCATTTATTATGTTGGCGGGCTCAGATGCAACATAATAAAAGTAATTATTTATTTCATCTCTAAAAAGTATTGATTGAGAATAATAATAAAAATATTTTTAATAAATTAAACAAAATTAAAAAAGGGTTGAATTTTTTTCTAAAAAGAAAAAATGAATTAATTTTTTATATAAAAACATTCATCATTCCCCTTAATAATTCAACGCTGGAACACTATTGTAAATTGTTTCCATTAATACGTGCATCGTTTGTAGTAATGAATTCTTCTATACAGCATCATATGATCGCATTATAACGACCGGATTGGCCATTCCTTTTGAAATATCCAGATAAATTGTTTTGCTTCTTCATAATATTGTTACAAAAGTCACATTTGATGAAATCAACGTCTGCATGGAAACTACTTAATTGTAGTTTTAATTGCTCGGAGAAAAATAAAATCAAAAGGAAGATTCCGATTGCCGCTAGCGAATGACCAAAAGCTTAACGAAAGACGAGACACTGAATTCAAAAATTGGTGACTCGTTAGTAAAAGGTATGCAAGGGAGACGTTTGCTTAAGTCAAACACGATTGAATCGTGATGCCCGAAGAGAAAAATTGAAAAGAAGATTTGAAAGTAAATTAAATATAATACAAGTTACCAAATTCTATGTAAATGATTCTTCTTTTCATGGCTATTCTAAATCAACTATCGAGAGGAATGAATGTAGTCTCGCAAAAGCGAAAAGAATCATTTCATAATATATTTATACATTAGTGATTACCAAAAATTAAGCTTTAGCTAAGCGTTGGTTTTTCTTCCTTCATGTATTCTTCGAAACCTCACAGTTTAAAATCAAGTCCACAGTACGTAAAAAAGGAAATTGATGTTTGAGAAAAAATAAAAACAGTATAGTGGGACCCCATTATCCAAAACCGTATAGTATCCCCACTAAGTACCGTATGTCACTTCGCTTAATTCAGTTATTCATATAACAACTTTTCGAAATTAGGCTTTGTATGGAAAGTGATCGAAATAGTTCCGATAAGAACCATTCTCAATAACGACTATACACGTGAGGCCACCAAATTTAATTGAAACATCCTGAAAATTGCGATCTGCAGATTGAACATAAGAAAATAAGACGGATGGACGGACAGACAAGTTTAGATCGTTTCAAAGTCACATTCTGATCAGTACAACAAAAAGGTGCACCAGTATTTTTCAAGTCCTTCTGGATGTTGCGGACATTCGCATAAACTTCTACTACACGTGGTGAATAGAAAATTTTGAAATGATAAGAAAAGTATAAAGAGCAAATTGATTGGTCTAGAGATCGAGAAAAAAGTGATTGACTGATTTGTCCGTGGAAACATTTTCATGTGAAAGGAAACCTGGTTAAAAGTTAATATAATTGGTATTCACACGCATAACTTCATTAAGAAGTTCTTTGTACGTATAAAGTATGCGGAAAAAATAAACTGAAACGTTTTAAAAGGCAGCAATGACTCTTTCTCTCAAAATTCAATTAGTCAAGTTAGCATTGCGCAAGCGTGACGTGCGTGAATATGTCCTTTCTCCAAAATTCAAATTATGATTGCTGTTTCATCTAAGTGAGATTGTAGCAGGAATTTCGAAGAAATCATTCAAGATGATCCGGGAAAGTCTCTACAAAACCTTCAAAGAGTGACCTCTGAAGCGTCAAAGAAAGATCGTATAAGATTTCCCAGCTAAAATTTCCGATATTGAACATAAGATTGTAAAAATGATTGAGCGAATGTGAATACTTTAAAAAATATTTGACAAGTGTTTCTGGGTATTACAAAAAGAATACCAAAATCCAAATACCTAAATCTAATGCTCAACGATTAATGGAAACATAAAAAAAAAAAACAAATTATATATGATACGAGTGTACTCACATGAGAATCAGTCGCATTGTAAACTTCATATGGTTTGATTAATGTTCAGCAACAGTGAGGAGTAAGTGAATAGTGTATTAGAGTTAAAAAATTAATCAATTTTGTTTTTGTTTTCTTTTTTTCAATAACTATATAATATATATAACTATATAACTATAAATTCTCTTCTTTACACTGGTATAGCACAACGTTGTGATTTCTTTACGGGATTACTTTCACGACTCAATGAGTTTTTTGTTATAGTTTCATTAGTTAAAATACTGCTACTATTGCTGCTATCATTGACGTTATTATCGCAAAAACTGTTATTATGATGGCTATTATTATTAATAGTAGTATTTTGCTCAACTAAAGCTGGCTGCTTATTATTAACTAAGTGATCCTGATTAATACAAGAGGACGCATTCGATATTCGTTCAGTTGATAATGGCGGTGCTGATGTTGATAATAACGAAAATTGCAAGATATCTACACTTAAATAGTTGCCCTGATTAAATGTCGTTGATAGTGAGGTTTTCAATGAAGACTATAAACTTGTCGTAGCAGTGGTGTTGGGAATATTTTTTTTTTTATCATAATTCGTTTTCAATTTATTTTCGTTGTTACGTTCTAAAGGTAACGATGGAGTTGGCGTGCTTTTATAACACGTTAAAGTTAAACTATTATTTTCTCTATTTACCAAAGGTGTTGTCATAACCACATTGATGCCGTTATTCGTAAAGGTATTACATTGTTGGTCTTGTGTTTGTTGATTAATTTTGTTATTATTTTCCAACATTGTCTGACTGGTGGTAATACAATCACTATCCATAGCGGCAATGCCAGCATTGCTTTCGCTATATAGGCTGACGCTATCATTGACTTTGTCTGTTTGCTGTTTGAATTTTTCATCCACACGATTGTTATTTGGCACGTAAGGCTCATCAGCATATGGTATCTGTTGATATGTTTGACTATCTAAATTTGTTAGTATACTACTGCCTATCGTTATGGTTTGTGTAGCCATTTCACACAATTTTTTCGCCTTAATTGAATGTTCTGTGAGCAAATAAAAAAAAGGGAATGACAGAACAAGAAAAAAAAGAGCAACAAAAAAAATAAGAAAAATTTACAAAATTTTTTTTTTTTTTTTAAATATTTGCAATAACATTTATTTACCCGTTTGCCCGGGTGTGATATGTTTTTGTATGTTCTCGTTTTGAGCACAAGTGGCCGCTGTTACGACGGCTGGTGCCATAATTGAAGTTTGCCCGGTTCCACCAGTGCGTTGCACGTTGGAATAGCGTGGCGGCATCATACTTTGTCTAACATTACGGTCGGGCCGTATTAAAATTATATAGAGCTACAGGTAAAAACAAATACGACAAATATGGCTTTAAGGCAAAAAGAAAAAAAAAAAACAAAAAAAAAGTATCTCTTTAGGCACTCACCTTAGGGGAAAATAAACAAGCTATCGTTACACTGGCTGATAAACTAATAGTTACTGACATTGAAGTAATTCTTAAGGGTACATGGTTTGCAGTACCAAAGTATAAAGGGACGAATGCCAACCATATTAC